CCTGCCAGGTTCTGTCAAGGCCTGGCCAATACTCACCTTGCAGCACCAGCCACAGCCTCAGGAGTGCTGTCTACAGTGGAAGGTGAGTGCCTGAGGTCACAGAGAGCTGTACTTGTGCACGACCACCTTCAGAATAGGTTCCTGTAATAGATGTACACATGCCAGACAGCCTGCTAAGAGATGCCCAGTTTGGCCACAACAGGGATTCTGACTGGTTTAAAGTCAGGGAAAGTGTGAGCCAGGATTCTAGCCTTTCTCTGTATTCAGTCTGTACTGAGCAAACAATCCACGAAACTGGATTATATGAAGAAGAGCGTGGCATCAGAATCGGAGGATGGCTCATTAGCAACCTGGGATATGCAGATGCTACAGCCCTAATTGCTGAAAATGAAGAGGTCTTAAAATACTTACTGATGAAAATCAAAGACCACAGCCTCAGTATGGATTTCACCTCAACATAAAGCAAACAAAAATCCTCACATCATGATAGATAGGGAAAGGATGAAGTTGTCAAAGACTTCTTCGTTTTTCTTGGGTCAGCAATCAAAGTTCACTTAAGCAACAGTAAAATCAAACAACATATTGCATCAGGCAAAGCTGCTCAACAAGACCTCTTTAATGTGTTGAACAGCAAAGATGTCAGTTTGAGGATGAAAGTATGCCTCATCTAAGCCATGGTTTTTCAATAACTTCACTTGCATGTGGATTGAACAATGAATAAGGAAGACCATAGGAAAGTTGATGCAATTGAGTTATGGTTTGGCGAAGAATCGTCAGAAAACCAAGCAAATCTGTCTTGGAAGAAGTGCAGCCAAAACACTCCTTCAAGCAAAAGTTGTGAGGCAGTCTTATAGTAGGATATCCTCTCTGAAGGACATCACGCTTATACTGTCATAACACTAGAATGCTGAATATTGAACTATGATGAAGATGACCAGAACATCGTCAGATAATAGTGCTAGAAGAAGAGCCCCTCAGGTTGGAAGGCACTCAAAATGCGACAGGGGAAGAGCTGCCTCCAAAAGTCGAGTTGACCGTGATGATGCAGATCGAGTAAAGCTTTAGGGACCTTCATTACTGATGGGGCACATCTCAAAATGAGAAACAGCTTCAACATCTATTAATGTTCAGAACATGGAATGTATAAAGTATGAATCTGGGAAAACTGGAAGTTGTCAATAGTAAAATGGAAGACATAAACAGCTATCCTAGGCATTTGTTATAGTCGTTAGGTGCCACTGAGTTGGTACTGACTCAAAAAAGACTCTTAAATACAACAGAACGAAACACTGCCTGCTACGGAGCCAACCTCACGATCGTTGATACGTTTAAGCTCATTGCTGCCACCGCGGTGCCGATCCATCTCATTGAGGGTCTTCCTCTTTTTCTCCAACCCTCCACTTTACCAAACATGATCTCCTTCTCCATTGACTGATCCTTCCTGACAGTATGTCCTAAGTATGAGACACAAAGTCTGGCACAAAAGACCAAAGACCAGAAGAGTTTTAGGATGACATTAAGAACACCATACAGGAAGAAAGCATAAGGTCATTAAGAAAACATGAAAGAAAGAAAAGAGCAAAATGATGTCAGAAGAGACTCTGAAACTTGCTCTGGAGCATACGGATGCAAAAGCAAATGGAAGAAATGAGGACGTAAAAGAGCTGAATAGAAAATTTCAAAGGGTAGCTCAAGAAGGCAAAGTCAAATATGATAATGAAATGTGCAAAGAATTGGGGTTAGGAAACCAAAAAAGGGCACACTCAGCATTTCTCAAGCTGAGTGAACTGAAGAAAAATTCAAGCCTTGATCTGCAATATTGAAGGATTCTCTGGGCAAATTATTGAATGATGCAGAAAGCATCAAAAGATGGAAGGAGTACACTGTACCAAAAAGAAATGGTCGGTGTTCAATCATTGCAAGAGGTAGAGGATCATCAAGGGCCAATGATACTGAAGGAGGAAGTCCAGGTGCATTGAAGGAATTGGCAAAGAACAAGTCACCAGGAATAGATGGAGTATAAATTGAAATCTCTCAGCAAACTGATGCAGCACTGGAGGTACTCACTCACCCATATTTGTGCCCATTGCAAAGAGAGGTTACCCAATGGACTGTGGAAATCATCAGACAATATCATTAATATCACATGCAAGTAAAAGTTTACTAAAGATAATACAAAAACGTTTGCAACCATACACTGACAGAGAACTTGCAGAGGCTCAAACCGGATCCAGAAGAAGACATGGGATATTATTCTGATGTCCGATGGCTCTTGGCTGAAAGCAGACTATAACAGAAAGAGGTTTACCTATGCTTTATTGATTACTAAAAGACTCGATTGTGTGGATCATGACAAGCTATGGACAACATTGCCAAAAATGAGTCCTCTGAAACACTTAATTGTGCTCATGAGGAGCCTGTACATAGACCAAGAGGCAGTTGTTAGAACAGAACAAGGGAACACCAAATGGTTTAAAGTTAGGAAAGGTGTACCACAGGATTGTATGCTTCCACCATACTTAATCATTCTGTATGCTGAGCAAGTAAGTCGAGAAACTGGATTATATGAAAAACAACATGGTATCGGGATTAGAGGAAGACTCATTAACAACTTGCGTTATGCAGATGATACAACCTTGCTTGCTGAAAATGAAGAGGACTTAAAATACTGATGAAGATCAAAGAGCACAGCCTTTGGTATGGGTTGCATCTTAATGTAGTGAAAACAAAAATCCTTACCACTGGATCAATAAATAAAATCAAGATAAATGGAGGAAGTTGTCTTAGACTTTATTTGAAGTTGTCTAAGACTTCAGTTTGATCTGATCAACCATCAACCCTCATGGAAGCAGCAGCCAATAAACTGAACAATGTATTGCATTAGGAAAATCTGGTGCACAAGACCGCTTTGAAGTGTTGAAGAGCAAAGATGCCAGTTTGAGGACTAAGGTGCACCTGACCCAAGCCAAGGTGTTTTCGATAATCTTATAAGCATATGAAAGTTGGACAGTGAATAAAGAACACCATAGAAGAATTAATGCATTTGAGTTGTGATGTTGGAGGAGAATATTAAAAATACCATGGACTGCCAAAAGATCAAATCAATCTGTGTTGAACCAAGTATAGACAGAATTCTTTTTGAAGGCCAGGATGGTGAGACTTTGTAACTCTCATACTTTGGACATATTATCAGATGGGACCAGTCACTGGGGAAGGATATCATGTTTGGTAAAGTGGAGGGTCAGAAAAAGAGGACGACCCCCAGCGAGATGGATTGACACAGTGGGGGCAGCGATGAGCTCAGGAGTAACAATAGTTGTGAGATTGGTGCAGGACTGAACAGTGTTTCATTCTATTGTGCATAGGGTGTCTGTGGGGTCGGTACCGAGTCGATGGCACCTAACAAAAACATGTTGTTGTTTAGTGTCCTTAAGTTGGTTCCAACTCATAGGGTTTCCAAGGAGCAGCTAGTAGGTTTAAACCACCAGCCTGCAGTTAGCAGTCCAGTGCTTATCCTATAGTGCCACTTCAGGGATATA